CAGGGACAAGGGGTGTGGGCATGACGCGGGTATGGGGAAGGATGGGGGTGCAGGACAGGGAGAAGGTGTGGGCATGAGGAGGGTATGGGGAGGGATGGGGGTATGGGGCAGGGACAAGGGGTACAGGCATGAGGAGGGTATGGTAGGTGCAGGACATAGACAAGGGGTGTGGGCATGAGGGGGGTACGGAGGGGTGCAGAACAAGGACAAGGGGTGTGGGCATGAGGGGGGTACGGGGAGGGACAGGGGTACAGGGCAGGGACAGGGATGTGGGGATCAGAGAAGACCATGGGGGCGGGTGGGGGCAGGGGGCAGAGCTGAGCTGGGGGAGGCTGTAGGCCCCTACCATACTGTCCAGGTAGCGGTTCTGGTCCTCTGCGTCCCTGTCGATGTCCAGGGCCAGCTGTTCAGGGCACAGAGAGGACAGGCTCAGGCCAGGGCCACATACACTGGGAAGTCCCTACCCTCCAGACCTTGCCAGCAAACCTGCTGGACACGGGTACCACTGGCAAGGTCAGGTGCCACCCAGGACCTGTATGGCAGGTGAGCATGGATGGGGCGAGGAGGCGGGTACACTGTCTGGAACGCCCCCAGCCGGCTGCCCTCCCTCAGGTCCCACTCCCAACTGCACAGACCGACTTGAGCCGGGTGACCTTGGAGGCCAGATGGTCTGCCATCCGCTTGTTCTCCTGGTCCAGAATCTCGTCCACGGCCCCGGGGCTCTGAGCTGCAGAGAGAGAGGGAGGAGCTATACCACCAGTGGTGCTGGCTGAACCCTGGAAGTTGGGGAGCTGGCTCTCTGCGCCCTCACTTGTCCCACTGCGCCCAGGCAGACATTTCAGTGGGCCGAAGTCCCCTCCATCTGTGACCTGCTGGGCAGACGTGGGTCCTAACCTACTGGGCAGGTGCATCGTAGTCTAGGTTCCAGTGTGGGGCCTGTGGGCCTCGCACATGGGACAGTCTGCGCGACAACGTGAGAGAACATGCCCCACATACACGCCTGGGTGGGATGCACGGGATGCCCCGAAGTGTGCCCCCCGACAGGCTTGTCCAACCAGCACTTTCTGACCTTACTCTGCCGGGACCTGGACCAAGCCCAGGGGTGCTAGGACGACACAACACCTGCCTCTGTGTCCCTCACTGCCCGTGTACACCAGACAATCCTCGAGAGCGACCTGGGAGGACCCCGGGGGGTACAGGGAAATTGGGCAGTCTTTCACACACTGGAAGACACAAAACCTGCCTCTGCGTCCTTCACTGCCTGTGTACACCAGACAATCCTCAAGAGAGGCCTGGGAGGACCCCCAGGGGGTGTAGGGAAATTGGGTAGTCTTTCACACATGGGAATGGTCAGGAGCCGGGCTGCCTGACCCCAAGCGCAGGGTTGGGTCTGCCCCACATGGTGACTGGCTGTGACCAGGCAAAACCATTCTCCACTCTCCACTTTGGGGCTAGGCCAGGAGACACAGGATTTGCATCACACCAGGTGGATAAGAATCACCCCCCACCCCCACACACACACCCCACGCATCTGGGTCAACAATGTCCGTATGACCCACTGAAGAGGAACTCAACGCCCCAGGAACGACGTGTACAGAACCTTGGTGTGGTACAATGAATTGCTTCGTGTGGCCCTTCTAGTTATAGTCTTTGTAACTCTGCAAATGAGGCGCCTTGGCTCACCAAGTGGGTTGGACAGCTTGCTAATAATGTAAATAAGGTGCACGGAAGCCTGTGGGGGGTGTGACCATGCAAACAAGCTGTATGGAACCCTAATGAGGGAACTGGTCAGATTTGCCATTCCACTAGGCTTAAACGAGCAGTCAATTCCAGAGCAAGTGTATGTCTGTGGGGGGGGGGGGGCTCACTACCACCAAGAAAGAGCTAGGAGTAGAGCATGTCCTTTGGACCAAGGATCCCTGTGCTGGGAACCTCCTGGACCCAGGAGAGAGAGAGAGAGAGCTGTAACACTGGAGACAGGGAGAAACAGTGGCAGCAGAGGCAGCAGAACCAGGAGACCAGCCCAGCAGGAGACAGCCAGGTGGGCTTGCCCACCCACAGAGCAAGAGAGCTAAGCTCCTTCGGGCAGGAGGCTTCCTGGCAGAGTGAGGTGCCTCCGTGTATTTACTGGCAGAGCTAAAAGAGCTTTGTAATACTTGCATGAGCAAGGCAGAGGCCGGGGTCGGGGGGTGGGGGCCCAGAGAGAGGCCTGACTGTGGCAGAAAAGAGGCTGTCTTGATTTAACTGTATCCTGAGCGTTCCTGATCCTGAATTGTAAACTGTTACTTCCCTAATAAACCCCATAACTGTGAGTATGGTCTAAGAGTCCTGCGTGGTCACTGCAACCAACTATCCAACCCAGCAGAGGAGTAGAGAGTGCTGTGGGAGGGATGGTTGGTGTTAGAATCCGTAAAAAGGTCGACGGGTGGAGGCACGTCTGACCTCCGCCTCACAGCCTTGGGCTGTTGATGCTGATAATGACTCTCCTTCCCCCTTGTGAAGTTAGAGATCAGACGCCCACCACACCGTTTTTACACCTGGGGAAGGGAAACCAATTGTGCCAGGCGTCCTTCATGGTCACTACCCCTTTACTCCTCAGGGCAGCCCAGTGGGACAGAAATCAGAACCCGACTTTACAGATGAGAACACGGACGCTCCAGAGGTGAAAGGGGCCCCAGTGCCCAAATCAGCACACGGCCTGTCTGGACCCTCCTACCGCGCCCAGGCTCGACTCCTGAGACTCACGGGTTGTCGCCCAAACCGGCCTTGGAGACAGTCGCCCGGTGGCCCATTTGAGGCCCCATCCAGGTCCCAGCTGACCTGACCGCCACAGGAGGGTCTCCTGGGGAGCGGAGGGAGTGGGAACGCTCTGCGTCCCGGACAGAGCGGCAGGACCCTCAGGGCCCGCCGAGTCCGGCCCCGCTCCGGCCCGGGAAGGACCCGGAAACCCCGGCTCTGCCCGCCGTGGCGGGGTCGTTCCCGCGGTTTCACCCCAGTTCTGGCCCTGCCCTCTGTTCCCACCGACCCTGCTTCCCGGCGCTCACCTCTAGCCCAGTCCGCCATCGCGCCCTGTTCCAGCCCGGACCTCGGTCCCCAATTCAGCCACAGCCGCCCCCGCCGCCGCCTCCACGGACGTGGCACTGGGTCACGGGAAAAGGCTTCCGGCCCCGCCCCTCCCGGCGCTGGCCCGCCCCGCCCCTGGGCGTTGGCCCCGCCCCGTCCGGCTACAACCCCGCCCCTTTCGCCTTGGGCTCGCTCGGCTTCCGGCTGCGCAATAGAGGCGGAAGTGACTTGAAGTTAATTTCAGTGCATGTGAAACAGGGGGGAGGCGGGGCATTTTGTTCTTGGGACCGTTTGTTTGGTTTATGTGTTTAATGCCAAAGTCATGGTCTCCGAAAGACTTTTTCTCTCAGTTATTCGAACTAGAGGTGCATCAGACAGTAACGTTAGCGCCAGTAAATACTCACGGGGCGCCTTTTATAGGCTAAGTGCGGGAGGAGTCCCGCTTGCCTGCGCTCCGCTCTGTGCAGGGCGCCGAAGGTCCTAGTGCTGGAGACAAGCCACGAAAACAAGCCAAAGGTGCGGCGTGTTCGGGACAGCAACGCCATGGTGTGGCTGGGGCACGTTAACCTTTGCACACCAGTTCCCTTATCTATAGAGCTGACATTAATGCTTAGAACAGTGAGTGCCTGGAACGAGTAGGCGCTGTGCAAGTGTTTGTTAAATAATGTGTAGGTATGAAGAATTGTGGGGGAAAAAAATAAATAAAGCGAGGAATGGGGATATTGGGGATGGGTGGGGACAGTAGGAACCAGGATTTATCGACTTTGAAGTCTGTCACTAACAAAGGGCCGGGCACAAAGTAGATGCTCAACAGAAGTTTGTTAAAAGAATAGATGGGTGGAAGAGCCGTATTTATGTTACCCACCGTTAGGGACCATTTTCTGTGTGCCACACACTGTGTTGAGTGCTTTGCACTTGGATGCATTTAATCCTCATAATAACCCATTGAAATGGGCACTTTTATTATTCCTGCTTTGCAAAAGAGAAAACTGCGTTCGGGCTGGACAGCATGTCTGGGTTACACATGGCGGAAGCCGCGGCACATGGGCAGGCTTCTCTCTTCATCCCTGACCTCTCCCCAACTCCCCCTCCACTCAGTTCCAACAGTACTTTCGTTGCCCCATCCCACCACAGTCATTCCCACTCTTGGACCTGCTGTTCCTTCTGCCTGGAACGACCTTTCTCAGATCTTTCCCGGGCGCCTGTTCTTGTCATCCGACTCAGCAAGAGTGTCACTTCCTCAGAGCCTTTTTGCAACCCACCAGGCACTTGATATCACAGCATCCTTTGCTGCTTTTTAAATCACGGCGCTTACGGCCGCCCACAGTCATTTGTTTTCCTGGTCTGTCTTCCGCTCTAGAACACGAGCTTCGGGAAGGCAGGGACCCCAGCACCTTGCATGAAGTAGGAGCTCAACGAACTCCTGCTGAACAAACCAAGTGTCCCCAGAATACAAAGTTCCATCTCAGTTGTCCCCCTCCCGTTCGTTCGGTGGATCAAGAAGGGCGTTTAGTATGTGCACGTTGGGGTGGCAGGACGAGGCCCTCTCCGGTTGGAAATTCTGGCCCAAGGAGCAGGCAGGAGACGGGTCATGGTTCGGCCCAGCGCGACTCGGACTCTGAGGTCAGCGGATAACCAAGCCCGGGCTTGAAGCCCCGCCTACCCGGCGTCAAGGCCTTCAAGACGGACTGGTACCCCTCGAGCCGCGTTCCGCGGCATCGCGCATGCGCTGTCCCGGCCTTCCCCGCGGCGCCGCGCACGCCGGGTTCCGGCCTACCCCGCACGCAGCCCAGGCCCCGCCCCAGGGCGCGCGCACTTTCGGTCCTGGCCTCTCCCGCGCGCCGGACGTGGGGCTCCGGAGGCAGGGCGGGGCCGGCGGACTCGGGCCGGACTTGGCCGGCACAGGGAATCGAGGACCTCCCGCCCACCGACCGGAGCCTCCCAGTGCCGGTCCCAGGGACGCCATGGATCCCCGGGCGGTTGCGAATGCCGTGGAGACGGGGGAGGAGGACGCGATAATGGACGCCCTGCGGACATACAACCGGGAGGTGAGCGCGAGCCGGTGACGGGCCCGGCACGGGGGTGGGCTGGTCGCGCGCGGCGGGGCTGAGTCCGCGGGACCGGCTGTAGGGGCGCGTCGGTGGGTGGGGGCGCGTAGGCCCCGCCGTCCGCTTAGCGGAGGCAGTCACGGCCGCCCAGCCGC